CCACATTGTCATTAAATTATTATTTATTTTTAAAAGAATTCAAAATCAATTGCTAACCCAGATAATGTTAGAAGTGGTGGGTTCTGATGTGTGTGTTGCAAGAGTGTATGTGTATTTATTTTTTCGATTGGCATAGTAAAATAAAAGAGTGTTTGGAGAGATGAGCGAAATCTATTGGCAGTGGGGGTGTAATTGTGGGTTATGTGACGTAGGAAGTTGGGGATTTGGGTTGTCAAGTTTGGGATACCAAAACTAAAACTTGGGTTGAAGATTTCTAGTTGTCTACAGGCTTATGGGTGACCAATAACAACCAATAACAAATTAATGGAAAAATAATCGCATTATTCAGTCTAAAATCACAATTAATCATAATATTCAGTCTAAAAACAGAATAATCACATTGAAGCTGAAGGGATATCAGATAACTTACCAGTGAGAGTCCACGGTTCCACCGTTTACGCCAACCAGCTCTGACGAAGTCCGACAACAAAGCTTCTCCGTTTCTTCCCTCATCTCTTCACTCATCTCCTCTCTTTCGAATCACAATAAGTCTCTCAGATCAGTTGTTTTCTTTTCTTTTTTTAATCTTAGTGCTTTGTTTGAACAAGCTTCTCCAGCAAGCCTTATAGTTTATATATTTGTAAAAGTTTCATATTTTACACTTTGACCCATTAAAGTTTCTAAAATTTTGCTTTCATCTTAACCTAATTTAAAAAATACATATACATGGAATTTAAAATAGATTATTATATATGTTAACTAATTCAAAAAAAAAAAAATTCCAAATAGTTTAAAAAATTGGGGGGGCTACTCTATATAATTTTGAAATTATCTAAAAAAAATTTGGGGGTGCGAATTCCTATAATTTTAAATTATTTTAAAATTTCTAGTATAATATATGATATTTTTCAAATTTTTGGGGGTGCGGCCGCCCCCCTCCGCCCCCCCTAGATCCATCCTTGTTAAAAGGTAATATTATAATAATGTCCATTTGAGAGTTTGATGGTCAGTTATGGAGTACGGATACGCATACGTATATGGATATAGACACGGATATGGACATGAGATACGGTGATTTTAAAAGAATAGGGACATGGACACCACGGGAGACATGGAAATTGTTTTTTTAATATTTATATTTGTTATGTAGATTAATATTATGTTATCAAATAATTAAAATTAATAAAAATTAACATTAATTCAATATATATTTTTTGAGAATAAATTCAATATATAAGCCACTACAACTAAACAAATTAATGGATTATTCATATTTGGACACGTGTGTCCCCGACGTGTCCCTTGCAAAAAAAATAATAATAATAATAATAAAAAAATTAAAGGGACTTGCCATTTGGCGTGTCACCGTGTTCAAAAAATTAAAGGGACTTGCCATTTGGCGTGTCACCGTGTTCCCTTATGTATCCAGATTTGGACATGCGTGCTACTAGCATGTCCCTTGCAAAAAAAATAATAAAATTAAAGGGACACGGCAAATGTCTGTCTCCTTGGCGTGTCTTTGTGTTCGATACTACCACGGCACCTATTTTGACGTGTCTGTACTTCTTAGATTGTCACAAATAGTATAACTCAATATCATAAAAGTTATAACTATATAAAAAATAATAATTAAGCTATAACCACACATCACATAAGGTATAACAAAAAAATTTTAAATTATAAACAAAATAATATCATAACTAATATCACAATGAGTCATAATTAACAACACAATAATTCATAACGAAAGACACAAAAAATTTAAGGGTGTGTACGTGCACTATAGAATTTCCCTTGTAATAATTAACAAATTTTTTAAACTTCTTAAACTCACTCGTGTCAAACCTATTATATTATTGATTTTTTTTTTTTTGACCGGTTATTATATTATTGATTGAAGTGGCTTTTTATTTCACATTTTAAAATTTCATCAGAGGGCATACTAATGAGCACCTTATGTATTGTTTAATATTGAGATTAGGTGAAAAGTATCTTGGAAATAGGTGAGAAAGTTAAAAAGTGTTTTTGATTTTGATGAAAAGTGTATTGAATTTTGTTTAAAATGTTTTAGATTCAATAAAAAGTGTGTCGGTTTTTTTTCTCCTTTTTTTTAACCTAAAGTCACTTGTTATCAAGAACCTTTGATTATGACATGCCAAAAGTTTATAAAATTTATTTGTTTTTTCAGAATTAAATGACAAGAACCATTCAACTATCACATCAGTTTCTAAATTAAATTGTTAAAAAAATATTTATTTGTATAGTATTACTCCTAAGATAAGATAACATTAATTTATTATGTACAGTCATTAACATTTTGCACTTATGTTTTTTATTTTATTTTTTGAGCTGTGATTCATTGTGTATTGTGTTTGAAGGATGGGTTTGGTTTGACTTAACTTTGAATTGTTGTCGTGTGTTGTATTGCATTGGCAGGGCCTGGGACAGTGCTGTGTGATAATATGAGTTATGTATTTATGTTCCTTTCAATTGCTACCTCAAATATGGTTGCTACGTCCCTAGCCAAAAGGGTTAGTCTGTTGATTAGTTGTTGAAAGCTGTTCTTCTTTAGACTGTCATATCATGGATTACATTTGTTTTTATGATATATGTTTAATGAATTGTGTTGTTTTCTCCGAAAATAAGTTCATACCTAGCAAAAAAATCATGAATCATTGTAATATATCAACATTATATCAATCAATAATTTATTTTCTCCATAGAAATATTGGAAGATTGTGAATTTAATCGGTCATCTTTCTTTGTGGAGTTAATAAAAATGACAATGTTATTTAGTGCACATCAAAATATGATGTTCTTGTTTTGATATGTCATCGATGATGTAAATTTTATAAAATATATAAATTCACCAGTATAAGGTGTTTGATGACTTACTGAATGCAGTTGATTGTGCCCCCATGTAGTTGCTGCGGATGCTGCTTCTGCAGCGAACTATTGGTGACTTATTTCCGCAAAATTCCTCTACCATTAATTCACAATCACTCTTTCACATTCACATTGTATATGGCCTAAAAAGGCCTCTAATGTTGCAAAACTGATTCACTAACGAAAACGAAACATGAGGGTGCATAAACAACAAACTGTTGAGACAGGTTCAAGACATTCCTATAAATCCTCTGTTGCCACCTTTTTTTTTTTTTTTTTTCCTTAATCCTAAGATAGATATATTGATAGAAGGTAGAGAAAATATCAAACATCACACAGCACAGCCATCACCAGGGGGCAGGGCCTCCCAATTATAATTCCCATTCCCAGCAGCCACAAACTTTGCCAAAACATGTGCTACCATATTATGATCCCGCCTTACAAAACAGAATCTGCATTCCTCAATATCCCTTTGAATTGACCAAAAAACAGAAGAGAATATCCAATAACTGTATAGATATAACTATATATGGATTATGCTAATGATAAGGGGAACAAAATGTAAAAAAAATGTTCGACTCTCAATGTATTTTTTCACACGTCTCCAAATAATTTCACATATTTCTATCTTTCTACACATGTCAATACAATTTTTACACATCCACTAAGACTATGGACAGCCCAAATGGTTGTTGTAAGCATTTTTCTATAACTATTTGGTGTGTTTTATCTAGGTTTTAATTTTGCGCCTTGGTATTGCTTGTTTGTTTACTCGAGTGCTTCTGTTGCTTTAAATCAAGATGTTATCAAAGCTGGTCTGCTTTCGTTGTCTCCAAGCACCGAATTTCTTGGCAGCATCACTTGTTACCAAATGAGATAGATTGGCTCTTTACTGTATTGTTCGCATCTACTAACTAGTCAATACTGATGCAGGATAAAAAGGAAGTGCAACACCAGATATCCATTTTGCTCTTTGTTGGGTTGACTTGTGGCATATTGATGTTTTTCTTTATGAGGTTCCTGGGAGCATGGGCACTAACTGGTAATAAATACTCATTCAAAATATATCATTTTATATATAAAGGACATGTGGCATAACCTGATTACCTCAGAATGTCATTCATGTTTGTATCTTTTCATCATTAGCGTCATTATCCAGAGACTGATAATTTTCTGTTTATAACATTTTCCAGCTTTTGCTGGCCCGAAGAATGTGCATATTGTACCTGCTGCAAATAAATATGTTCAGGTTCATTTACCATTAAGTAAACTCTTTTATGTTCTTTGTCACATGATTGCTGACTCTTCCTACGATCGTCAAGATTCACGTAATGATCTTTATTATTAATATATTTTGGATTCTTTTTCTTTTTTTGTTTTTCTTTTTTTGTTTTTTTTTTTTTTTGTTGAAATTAGAATTGGCTGCTTTTATAGAGGATGCTTTTTCAGAAAAAAAAAAAATTTGTTGGTTTATTATTTTGCTTTCCAATTAGGATAGGAAACTAATTCACCCATTGATGTCAGTCATGGAGTTGGGAAGTAGACTCCATGATGGAGAACAGAATAAGAGAAGAGAAGAAGGGGGAAGGAAACATACAAATTGGCCATCATGTTTACTCTCAATAATATTCTTTAAAAAAACTTATCATTACAATCTCAAAACCATCATATATTGGACCAAAACCCTAATCTAATTAGGAATCCTTTCTAACATTACTTGAGAAACAAAATCAAATCACTTACTAATACTAAGTAATTAAATCCAAGCATCTCCAAGGGGCTCTTTAAAACAGTTTTGTTAGCTATTATAACTAGTTTCATGCTATTTTACTCACTCTTACAAGCTAGCTAGTACGAGTTCCAAAAAGAAAAAAAAAAAAAAGGCTAGTTAGTACGATAGCCATTTTGACAAGATTCTTGCATGCTAGCTATATTTGGAGAGTATTGGAAGGCTCTTTAAACTAGTTTGTGTGGATAAATATGTAAAATAAAGAGTAGTGTTGGATCACATAAATGAAAAATTAGTTAGGTAAAATAAAGAGTATGCCTTTTTGGTACTTTAGCTAGTAAAAAATGAAGAGTAGCACTGGAGTTGATATTCTTTCAATTACATTTATGAGACCAAAACACCTTCGGAACCACGGGCTTCACCCTAGGCTTCCAAATATTCAAGAGCTGCACCATCACTCCACCATTAGCTATAAATTATTGATGTTTATATCATGTTTTGCTGTAAAATTTTCCTTCTTTAACTATCTGTTAAACAGAATCCTTCTTCATACATATTTACTATCGTATCTTTCTCTGTTTTATATGTTTCCGTTACTTCTTAGCTAAATTGAACCATTTTGTTTTGTAGATTCGAGCCTTAGCATGGCCTGCAGTCCTTGTTGGATGGGTTGCTCAGAGTGCAAGGTGCAAATATGTTGTGTTTTTCCACCAATTATTCACAAATGCTACTTATAGAAGATATTATTTGTATTCACTGAATGTGTTGGAAGAGTATTTATCCATTGCTTAATCTTGACATTTGACATACCATGTTTTGTGTTGTCCATTCGGACACACTATGGCAAAGCATTAGTCATGAGGTTTTCCATTCAAGTCCGTGTGTGCTGCAAGTGCCTTTTCCCACTTTTCTTTCTTTCTTTCTTTCTTTCTTTCTTTTATTATTTATTTTTAAATGTCAACAGCTTAGTTTAAAAGAACTTGGGTCTAAGGATATTATATTATGCTTGTTAGACATAAGATAAACTTTTGTCATTGAAACATGTTTTGTGCTCCACATGTTCTTGTTTTATTAGTTATACATTTTTGTTAGCTGGAATGTAGGCAGATCTAAAGCAGAGCAGATAAATGAACTTTGTGTCCTATAGTTGAAGAATGATGGCTTCATATTGTTTCAGCTGACACCCTTCTGTTAACTTCATCTAGTAGTAGCTATGAGGACGGTTGTTTAAAATAGAGTGATATTTTTTCTAACTTTATAAACACATGACAGTATGGGTTTGACTCCCAACATAAGCTTTTGCGACAGGGCAGTTGGCCTAGTGGTCCATGTAGTTGTTACTTGGGACAGTGAGAATGTCAGAGATTTAGGGTTCGAGTCGATGGAACGACTGCGGCCTTTTCATTGTAATCTAACTTACTAACCCACTAACATCCTATCATGTGCCGAAAATATATATATAGACAAACATAATTTTTGTATAGAATTTCTATACGGAATAATGTGTTTGGTCCCTTCATTTCTAATTAAAACACCCATTTCAAAAATGTCATTGACACGTCATTCTAGATATATTTTTTGTATGAACTTTCTGTTTGTAAATAATTTTCCTTAGTGCTATATATGTATTCTGATATGTTCTTCTGGTGCACAGTCTTGGCATGAAAGATTCATGGGGACCTTTGAAGGCTCTGGCAGTTGCTAGTACCGTAAATATTATTGGTCATGTCATCCTATGCAGTTATTTAGGCTATGGTATTGCTGGAGCAGCTTGGGCGACTATGGTGTCACAGGTATGCAGAATGAATATTTAATATATTTGTTTCATCATCTTTATCATATTTCCATTGTTGATGCACCAAAGTTAGTACATTCTTTTTTCAGTTTTGCTGCTCACCAGAATCTGTTTCAGGTTATTTCAGCTTATATGATGATTCAAGCTCTGAACGACAAAGGATATAATGCTTTTGCTATCACTGCTCCATCACCTAGTGAACTTACGCAAATAATCATACTTGCTGCTCCAGTGTTTCTAACAATCAGTTCAAAGGTGTGTACACGTTCTTACTTTGATTTTCTTGCTGTATCTGCTCACCCATAACTACACCGCATCTAAAAAAATTTGATATTTAGGTGGCATTTTACTCTCTCATTATTTATTTTGCTACATCTATGGGAACAGTCACCGTTGCTGCTCATCAGGTTCGTTTTATTCAACTGTTCCCCATCACCGATCTTCTTTTTTCTTTGATTTAACATTCATCTGTAACAAACCAATGTCCATCTCTCTTGTCAAATCACTGTCTACTCTAGGTCCTGATTCAATTGTACAGCATGTGTGTGGTATGGGGTGAGCCTCTCTCTCAAACTGCTCAATCATTCATGCCTGAGTTGATGTATGGAGCTAATCGAAGTCTGGCAAAGGTTAGTCACGCTTGTTTATATTGATGCTATATCGCCTATACTCCAAATTTGACCTCCATGCTTTCCATTGGAAACATGTGGTATGCGTACAATTAAATTCTTTTTTTTGGGGGGGTAAGTAATTAATTTTTAGTTACTGGACAGCATGATAAATTTGGACATGATTATTACTACTGCATACAATTTACTTGTCACAATATATGTCTTTAAATGGATTTTCCTATGCCAAACATGCTCTTAAAGGTTCATGTTGCCTAACAGGCTCGAATGTTGTTGAAGTCATTGGTGATCATTGGAGCATTTTTAGGACTGATATTGGGAACAATTGGAACATCTATTCCTTTGTTGTTCCCTGGAATTTTCACATCTGATCCAAAAGTCATACAGCAGGTTAGTTCAATTTTCTTTTCATGTTATTTTTAATTTTGAATACTTTTTAGGGAAAATAACCAGTTTGTTCTAGTTTTCCCAAAGAAATACCATTAATCCTACTTTAAATAAACTGTTTCAAAATAGTTCAAAACTACATTAATTCTATACTTCGACTTTTACCCTTTCCATGGATATTAGCTACACTTCTACTGACAATTTGATCATCAACTTCAATAAAAAAATCATAAATAGGATCTCAAAAATTATAAACAAGATCCACTCAGTTTGGTTTTTTGAAATTTCAAAAACAGTTTTTAAGTTTTTTAATTAGCATTTTTTTAGTGATATTTTTTAATATTTTAGTCAAATATTTTTTAGATGCAATATTTGTGAAGAAACATTTACAAAATTCAATAAATACAGAACAAAATAAAATGTATTGAATTTTTATATTCTTTTGTATTTTTTAGTATTTAGTGAATATTTTTAAAGATTTTTCACTACTTTTTTACTTTTTAAGTATATCTAGATTAAGTGGATATAAAAAGTAAAAAAAAAAAAAAAAATACTAAAATATTTAAAAAGTACACCCAAAAAAAATATGAATTAAAAACTTAAAAATTATTTTGAAATCTCAAAACCAAATAGAATATTAACGTTTAGATTTGGACTTCTAGATCTATACATAATGCATCAAAAAATTAATAGTGACTTAAAAATTAGAATCCAACTGAAATTGCACAGAATCTGATAATGTTCTGACAAACCATAACAATATTTGGTTTTAGCAATCACCTCATTAAAAGGAGAAAAAAAAAAAAAAAAAAAACTAACAGAATCCACATTAGAAATATTGTTCTAAATGTTGACTCTCTTAAATGTCATGAGAGATATATAAGGAATATAGGAAAACCAAGACTTTGTGGGAGTGTTTTATTCAAAATAGGGGTAAGTAGGACGAATTGGTTATTTTCCTTTTTTATATTTTCTGTTATAATGGTAAAATGGTGTGTAACAAGGAAAGAACCACATAAAAATATGTTGCTACATCATGAGAAACTACAACTTCCATTTCTTGCAGCGTCTACTTCTTAATATGTGCTCTTTTACACTGTGTTTGGTTGAGAGATTTAAGAAGGAATTTAGAAAGGGAAAGAAAAAGAGAAAAGATATGTGAAATGTAAATAAAATATACTTATATTTTATCTGATTTTACACCTCTTTTCCGTTTTTCTTTCCAAATTCATTCTCAAATTCTCTAACCAAACACAGTATTAGTGTGGTTGTCAGGATTTCAACAACTGATTTACTGAGTTGTCTGTTTACCTATGTCAATGATATCTTGTTTTTGTGCTACTTTAGCTCATTTCAGTTCCAACCCAATCCATGGGTTCAACAAGAAAAAAATTAATAAAAATAGAGATACAAGTCCTCAACATTCAAACAAAAAGATCTTTGTGTTATCCTTAGCCACCGTTTGGAAAATGGGTTGGCTTTTTGTCTTTTTGACTTTTTTGGTTATTTTAGCCTGGGCTAAAAAGCTTGGTTTGGGAAGGGCTTTTTGATTTTTTTAGATTTTTTTGCTTTTTTTGTGAGAAAATGGTGTAATGATTATGGGTTGGATGTGATATTTTATTTTTTGTGGCTAAAATAGCCAATTTTGTTTTTTGTGGCTAAAATAGTCAAAAAAACCTGGAATAGCTCCTCCCAAACAGAGCTTAGTTACTTATCTTTAACATGAGATTGTAATATGTTTAGTTTCGTTGTTAGCTCAAGTAATTGTTAATCAAGACATTTTTCTTATATCATCTTAAATAAAATACATATGAATGGCAATTATTTGTTTAAAACCTATTTGTGTTCATACTTGTGCGAACGGGAAGTTTGGGAACTTGTTTTCTTGTTTTTGCTAATATTTTGTTCTTTGTTTTTTTGTTCATCCAGATGCACAAAGTGTTGGTTCCATTTTTTATCGCATTGTGTGTGACACCCTGTACTCACAGCTTTGAGGGAACGTTGCTGGTATGTTTTACCTTGACTTCTGCACTAATGGTGCTTTAAAAAATTTCTGAAGTCTCTGTACTCTGTATATTGGTAAATGAAAAGCAGATTTGGAATTACAATTCTAAGAGATAATAATGTTTAGCTTGTCCTAACAGCCTATGCATTTCTTGCTATAAGTTAAAGATCGATGATTTTACAATCTTGCTTGGCTGAATTAATTTCTCATTGTCCTAATTGAGATGTGGATAGAAGCTTATATGAATTCCTGGTCTTGCCTCCTGTATGTAGAGAATCTTGAATTGTCAAGTTGTTTCTTTTTCATTCTGTGCTCTAGAATAGAGCATTCATTTGCATAAGATATTAGTGTTGTGGCATATCAATGTATCTGTTTTTGCTTTTGCAGGCAGGACGGGATCTCAAATTTATTAGTTTAACAATGACAGGGTGTTTCGGTTTGGGCTCTCTTCTCCTGTTGGTATGAGATTTCTTTCTTGGTTCCCTAGCACCAATTGTTTTCACTTTGGTTGTTTCTAAATTCGACGATGTCTCTCAATCACCCAAAATGAGATGAATCTAGCAAAAAGAGAACAAACCCAACAAATAAATAAATTTCTCTTCCATCAACCTCTTAAGTTACTTACTTAAGCCATTAACAATACTTGTTTTTTTCTTCTTTTTTACTTTTTCCTTGACAGCTTGTCAGCAGTAGAGGATACGGTCTGCCAGGCTGCTGGTGTGCACTCGTGGGATTTCAATGGGTAAGAAAAACATTTCCAGCAATCGTGTGAACTTTCTCTATTTGAACTTGTCTGAATGAGCAAAGAAATTTCCCCGCACCCTTTTTTCAGGCCCGGTTTATCCTTGCTCTTCGCCGCCTCATTTCGCCAGATGGCGTACTATTCTCTGACGATTTAACGCGGTTTAGTAACTACAATATGGGAAAGCTGAAAGCTGCATAGTTTCCAATTCAATGTCAGTATATTTGGAAAGTGAGACTACTACAACATGCCAAAGGTGAAGCTGTCATTACTCATTGAAGGCTCACAATCAAGCTACAAAAGCATTAGTTATGCACTAGCACAAGCTGTTCCAGCATACATATCTGTCAAACTATTAGTACTGAATTGGCTGCTTCTGCTTCATTTTTATTTTTTCATTTTTTTGGTTAGGGCCGGTATTCAACTGGGAATGTTTTCTAGGAATATTATTCATTTGTTGCGAATAATATTGGTTAGATAGTCAGCACATGTGATGTTCAAAGACAAATGACAGTTCAAAATTCTAGTCTTATGGTGGGCCTGTAAACCAGGGGGGAAAAAAACAGTTCATTAAATTTTATCACCATGTGGTTTAACTAAAAAAACATATTACTCCCTTATGGTCTATAAATATACACTTAACCCGCTTATGATTTGGAGTGATGCAAATACTGACTGTGTTAACAATATATATAAAAAGTTTGTATTACCCTGAAATTTTACTCTAATTTTCTTTTCAATACCATCACAATCATAGAACCAGACGAATTCATTTCCTTTCCTTTTCGTTCCTTTTGTTTCTCTTTTTTTCTTTTCCTTCTTTTCTGCTTTATGCTTTCTCCGCCCCTTACCGCACTTCCAGCACCTCTTCTTAGCTAAATATTAGGACGGTGTAAAATATTGCTCAATCCACACCAATTCGCTGGCTAACAGCGGGTTAGTTTAAACCGCGATTTGAAATTTATAATCCGCTTTTCAAATTTTCTATAATTAATACATATATATATTTTTTATTTTTTATTTTCATCTCTAATGAATTATCAAAGTAAAAGTAAGTGTGAGGGAGATTTAAGATGTGAAATTTATTGTAAATTAGAATTATATATTTAAAAAATGTTATATAAAATTAGTTAGTGTTATATAAAATATTATATAAATTAGTGTTATATTATGCAAATGTTTTATAATTTTTTATGAAATTAGCAAATTGATTAAAATTAGAACCATCTAAACCACGATTTGATTATTTATTAATATGTCATTCACATTTTAATTTATAATTTTACTCTCAAACCAAATTGACTTACACCGCGCACACCTTGCTAATAGAATCGATCCAAGAAAGAATTTTCAATTCCAAACCCACTACGTCCATGTTGCAGGTCATAACAAAAAACAAAAACAAAAAAGGTTTTTAAAATTAGAACCACATATGTATAATATAAATATATATATATATATATATCAATTAAAAAATTATATATGTAGTTTTGGTTACAATCTTTGTATATTTTGTTATGACCTAGGGGTACTTTGGGTATAGCCTAATGGTTTTTTTGCTTTTTATGAAAATATGTATAGAAAAATAAGAGATGATATGATAACTTGTAACAAATAAGCTATACTTATTTGTGGTGTTGTCAAACCACCTTCTAATGTGTTTATTAGTTATGACATACTGTGATATTAGTTGTGATATTATTTTAGTTATGATTTAAAAGTTGTTTAGTTATACATCAATGTTTGGTTATAATTCAATTAAAATTTTTTTTTTAATAATTATAACTTCTATAGTATTGAGTTATGTCATTTGTGATAATCTAACTCACAAATGGCATAACCCATATCAATTGATATGGATGTATATATATCATATGTGACTAATTGAAATCACTAATTCCTTTTTCCTCCAGCTGCATTATCGTCGATTTTTTGTCCTTCAGACTTTTTTTCTTCATGGAAGCAACCCTAATTGTTCCAGCCAAACAAGGCAAGAAGACCCACACACAAACATATACATAAATACATATATGCATACACACATCCAATAAATAGCCATGGAAAAAAAAGAAAAGGAGATGAAAGCGATGAGAGAATGGACAATGGCAAGGAGGAGGGTAGAGTAGGTCAGCTGCTGAGATGCAAGGGCAAAGGAGGAAGAAAGAAGAGAAGAAATAGGTGGGTAATTCTATTGATCGATGCTATTAGCACCCATTAATTATTTTCAATTCCCAATTTCTTTGGCCCCTCACGTATAAATTCTAAAACTCTTAAAATTTATTTTTTCCCACCAAATAATACTAAAATTATCTTTGTGAAAATATTTTACCCATTCAATTGAATGTACACCCTCACACCCCAAAAAGCCTCTTTCCCCTCTCTCCTCAAAATCCTGAAAAAACCCATGAAAGTGATTACTTCATCTCCACATACTTGTACATAATCTGAGAAAATAAATGTAAAGTTTTTTGTTGTTGATTCAAAATTCTCCTTTTGTGAGTTCTAGATCTCCACGAGTTTCGGTTATCTGTTTCCAAACAAATAAGAAGTGTTCGATTACCAATTCTCGAACAAATAAACAATATTCGGACCTGTGTTCTTTAATTTTGGTCATATATTCGGAAGTTTAGTCCTGAAAAAATGACGAACAATTTTTATTATTTTTGTTATTTTTTTCAAGAAATTTACCCTTAAAAGGCCCACTCCTCTGAGCTAAGAACACCATCAAAGCTATGAATTTCCTCTGATCTTTTACTGTTGTACTCCTCTCATCTCATGGAGTTGTGATTGCCGAAAAAACTTCCACTCATAGTCATTGCTGGAAAATTGTAGGTAATCAAATAGTTGCCACCGTTATCGCTAGAATACTGCTGCCAAAGGGCTTTTAAGATTTTGAGAGTGTGTAGGTTTTGAAGGTGGGATAAGAAAGATGGATGGGTGGTGATGGATGTGGATACTCTCATAAACCCTAACCCATGATATAGTGGGTGTGCGGACTTAATTGTGAGATGGGATGTCCGAAAATTATTGATGTCTATTTTAGTAATTTTATTTGAGGTTATATTGTAATAAAAAAGAAAGCTAAAAAAATAGAGAGTCCAAAATAATTGATAGGATACTAATAGCAACACTCAATTCTATTCCACACACTATTTACTCTTTGTGCACATCATTTTTTGGTGCACATATTTATAAATTTGTTTATTTTGTTTTACTCATTTCACACACTAAATGTTTCAAACATACTCCTGAAATATAATGTGTGCACACATCAACACAGAAACCCAATACATTATATACACACATCATACAAAACATAAACTTACATAAACCTAAATTGTGCCTACACACACAGCATTTTTCAACACTCACCAACAACACTCTCGCAATTGAAGCGCAAAAAAAAAAAAAAAAAAAAAAAAAAAAACAAAACATATTGTTTCAGTATTTTTGAAAAAAAAAAAAAACAAAACATATTGTTTCACTATTTTTGTTATTCGTTCCATATTAACTAGGAAAGAGAATAAAAACCATTGGCACTGGTTATCCGAATAAATTTTAAAAATTCGACAATCAAGAACCAAATAAGATAATAATTTTTAGTTCTATATTTCTGAATCAAATATAAATTTTTGACATACAACTATTGAACAAAGGAAAAACGTTATGTTCTATACTTTTGAATTAAATTTATAATTTTAAATTTGTATTTTGGAACCATTTATATATTTTCAGTTATATTGTTCCGAACTATTTACATAATTTCGGTTATGTATTTCCAAATGAGATTTTAATTTTTTTCATCATCTCTGTTATATATTTGCACATTTTCAGTTCTATAGTTCTGAACTATTTACATATTTTCGGTTCTTTTTTATTTTTTCAAAAAGAAAATGCGTACTAAGAATATTCCAAGTTCAAAAAATATTTATTGAAAAAATCTAGTTTCAAAGTTTGGTGTGTATTGACATTTTGTTCAATGGTAAAATTGTAAAAAAAAATAATAATAATAATTCATTAAGTTTGTGCACATACAGCAAATGGTGTGTGAAAAGAGAATTTTCCGAAGAAAAGGAACATAAAAGAAGATTACAAAAAGGGAAAAAATATCATTTTAGCAGTACATTTTGGGGATTCTTACTGTGTCTCACGCGCGCAATTCAATGTGGTTTATATTTGCTGTTAACTTTAATAGAATCTGTTACTTTTACAATTTAGTCCAAATTACAAGGGGTTAAGATTATATTTCGGAGCCATTTATATATTTTCAGTTATATTGTTGCGAACTATTTACATAATTTCTGCTATGTATTTCCAAATGAGATTTTAATTTTTTCATCCTCTCTGTTATATATTTGCATATTTTCAGTTCTGTAGTGCTGAACTATTTACATATTTTCGGTTCTTTTTTATTTTTTCAAAAAGAAAATGCGTACTAAAAATTTTCCAAGTTCAAAAAATATTTATTGAAAAAATCTAGTTTCAAAGTTTGGTGTGTGCATTGACATTTTGTTCAATGGTAAAACTGTAAAAAAAAATAATAATAATAATTCATTAAGTTTGTGCACATACAGTAAATGGTGTGTGAAAAGAGGATTTTCCGAAGAAAATGAACATAAAAAGAAGATTACAAAAAGGGAAAAAATATCATTTTAGCAGTACATTTTGGGGATTTTTACTGTGTCTCACACACGCAATTCAATGTGGTTTATATTTGCTGTTAACTTTAATAGAATCTGTTACTTTTACAATTTAGTCCAAATTACAAGGGGTTAAGTTTATATTTCGGAGCCATTTATATATTTTCAGTTATATTGTTGCGAACTATTTACATAATTTCGGTTATGTATTTCCAAATGAGATTTTAATTTTTTCATCCTCTCTGTTATATATTTGCATATTTTCAGTTCTATAGTGCTCAACTATTTACATATTTTTAGTTCTTTTTTATTTTTTCAAAAAGAAAATGCATACTAAGAATTTTCCAAGTTCAAAAAATATTTATTGAAAAAATCTAGTTTCAAAGTTTGGTGTGTGTATTGACATTTTGTAAAATGGTAAAACTGTAAAAACAAAATAATAATAATAATTCATTAAGTTTGTGCACATACAGTAAATGGTGTGTGAAAAGAGAATTACCCGAAGAAAATGAACATAAAAAGAAGATTACAAAAAGGGCAAAAATATCATTTTAGCAGTACAGTTTGGGGATTCTTACTGTGTCTCACGCGCGCAATTCAATGTGGTATATATTTGCTGTTAACTTTAATAGAATCTGTTACTTTTACAATTTAGTCCAAATTACAAGGGGTTAAGTTGAGATTTTAATTTTTTCATCATCTCTGTTATATATTTGCATATTTTCAGTTCTGTAGTGCTGAACTATTTACATATTTTCGGTTCTTTTTTATTTTTTCAAAAAGAAAATGAGTACTAAGAATATTCCAAGTTCAAAAAATATTTATTGAAAAAATTTAGCTTCAAAGTTTGGTGTGTATTGACATTTTGTTCAATGGTAAAACTGTAAAAAAAATAAAATAATAATAATTCATTAAGTTTGTGCACTTACAGTAAATGGTGTGTGAAAAGAGAATTTTCCGAAGAAAAGGAACATAAAAAGAAGATTACAAAAAGGGAAAAAATATCATTTTAGCAGTACATTTTGGGGATTCTTACTGTGTCTTACGCGCGCAATTCAATGTGGTTTATATTTGCTGTTAACTTTAATAGAATCTGTTACTTTTACAATTTAGTCCAAATTACAAGGGGTTAAGTTTATATTTCGGAGCCATTTATATATTTTCAGTTATATTGTTGCGAACTATGTACATAATTTCGGTTATGTATTTCCAAATGAGATTTTAATTTTTTCATCCTCTCTGTTATATATTTGCATATTTTCAGTTCTATAGTGCTAAACTATTTACATATTTTCAGTTCTTTTTTATTTTTTCAAAAAGAAAATGCAAACTAAGAATTTTCCAAGTTCAAAAAATATTTATTGAAAAAATCTAGTTTCAAAGTTTGGTGTGTGTGTATTGACATTTTGTAAAATGGTAAAACTGTAAAAAATAATAATAATAATAATTCATTAAGTTTGTGCACATACAGTAAATGGTGTGTGAAAAGAGAATTACCCGAAGAAAAGGAACATAAAAAGAAGATTACAAAAAGGGCAAAATATCATTTTAGCAGTACAATTTGGGGATTCTTACTGTGTCTCACGCGCGCAATTCAATGTGGTATATATTTGCCGTTAACTTTAATAGAATTTGTTACTTTTACAATTTAGACCAAATTACAAGGGGTTAAGTTCATATTTTAAAACACCGCCCCCCCTTTACAAAACAAAACACACACACACACACACAAACACACAAAAAATCCTCATATCGAGAGATATTACGAGGTATGAAAACACAAGTTGAACATTAGCATTGCCAAGATAATAGGAAACATGAACAAATTGAAAACATGGGAGAAAAGGAAGGCACACATGTACCAGGCTATTTTGAATGAAATTAGTTGAGGGAAAGGCGATGGGATGGCAACTGGTAAAAATCTATGCGGGGTGCAAGTGTAATCTGTGTGAGGTGTAAATGTTGTCTGTGTAGGGTGCACGTGTTAGAACAACAAATAATTTGTCATTGTCAACTTCCTGGGTATGTATAGACCATGACAAACAAATAAAACCTTCAAAAAATATCTATTTTTGTGATTATTGGACTCTAAAATCTTTTTTTCCCCTACATTTAGAAAACCCACACACATTCCCACCCATAGAAGCAAAAGAAATCTATGTCCACATACATTCAACAAAAGGTTATAACTTCTAAATGAGCGATAAGACCCCATTATCACAAAAATATTACAAAGTACAAACCCAACCACTACATAAGAAAGACCCCAAATAAATATAATAAAAACAATTAATAAGTGAAGAAAATCGAGCATATAATCTCCAAATGAGGTACAAAGACTCTTGACCAATAGGCTGGGGGGTTGCTTAAGTGGCCAAAGTAAAGAAACACTTTTAACACAAAATTACCCCTAATTTTAGGTGTACACAGATTACATGATGACAAAATTCCAACAAAGTACATTGTCATAGACATTTCATCAAACACTTAGGGCACAACACAATTACCTAACAAGTTCATATACAAGGATCCCACAAAAACAATTAATCCTCTTCTATGCATTTTAACAAACACTTAACATGCAAGGATTCAGACTTAAATCAATTTGTGTCATTTCTTCCAATCGCAAACACATAAATGTTCAGTCAGACAAACTCAAGGTTGTTTTGAATGAAATGATTTGAACGAAAGTCACTGGGATAGAGATTGGTACAGAATTCATAGGGTGCAAGTGCAGTCTATGTGGGGTGTAAGTGTAATCTGTGTGGGGTGTAAGTGTTAGAACACCAAATAATTTGGCAATGTCCACTTCCTGGTATGCATACACCATAACAATCAAAATAGAACAATAAATTTACGCAGATTACATAATGACTAAATTCCAACAAAGTACATTGTCATCGGCATTTCATCAAACACTTAGCACGCAAGGATTATAAACCCACAATGTTCAATCAAACAAACTCAAGAAGTAGCCCAAAATTTGTTGTCGCTGAAACTTTTCAAGAAGTACATTTGAAAAATTGTTCCAGAAATCATTTACAACATCATAGGGAAAAAAAATTCATACAACACATATACAGCACCATTGTTTGAAAAAATGCATACATATATAGAGAATAAAAAATAAAAGAGAGGGTTTGTGATGAGAGGTACCTCTGCATTTCTGCCTTTAGGAAGTGAGATGAGACTGAGGGACGAAAGGACGTCGCCGGAGTGCGAGGGAGAGGCGGAGCAGAGGGTGGGTCTAACGAAGAGAGAGAGAGAGAGAGAGAGAGAGAGAGAGAGAGAGAGAGAGAGAGAGGGGCAATCGTGAGAAGGGTGGGAATAGGGAAAACGATGTCGTTTTTCTTGCAAGGGTAAATAGGTCATTTAACTCCGCCAGGGTTGTTAACAACTCCGCCGGTCCCAAACCCGAGTTAAGGAGGAGGGTTGTGTGTTAGGTAGCCGACAGTCAACACGTAAAAAAGCCGCTCGGATCCCTTATGAAAATGAATCCTTCTTTGAATCGTTTAAATGCTAGGTCGTTCCCCTCAAGTGACGCGTTGCGCCTGCTTCCGGGTGTTTCAAAAAGTGAGCAAGGGGCGCCGCATCGACGCCTGGGTGCGGTGAAAAATGGACAAAGGTTTCCGCGTTTTTCTGGACGAGCGCGGGTAAAGAAGCTAGTCCAAGACTATAGGTTTAGGATAGCCACTTGGAACATAGGAACCTTAACTGGTAGGACGATGGAATTGGTAGATGTTATGATTAGGAGGAGAGTTAGTATAGCTTGCATACAAGAAACTAAGTGGACGGGAGAGAAAGCTAGGGAAATTGAGGATACTGGTTTTAAACTTTATTATAGTGGTAAGGATAGACGCAGGAATGGGGTAGGAATCATAATTGCCAAGGGTCTTGTGGAAAGTGTGGTGGCGGTCATTAGGAAAGGAGATAGGATTATGCTAGTTAAATTAGTTATTGGAGGGAATATAGTGAACAGTATTAGCGCTTACGCCCCTCAAGTAGGGTTAGATGATCAGACTAAGAGGGATTTTTGGGAGCAAATGGATGAGATCTTACAGGAGATACCCGTAGGAGAGAACCTGGTTATAGGTGGAGATTTTAATGGCCATGTGGGCATAGATAAAGTAGGTTATGAAAGGGTGCATGGTGGATACGATTTTGGTGACAGAAATGAGGCCAAATAATTTGGCAATGTCCACTTCCTGGTATGCATACACCATAACAATCAAAATAGAACAATAAATTTACACAGATTACATAATGACTAAATTCCAACAAAGTACATTGTCATAGGCATTTCATCAAACACTTAGCACGCAAGGATTACAAACCCACAATGCTCAATCAAACAAACTCAAGAAGTAGCCCAAAATTTGTTGTCGATGAAACTTTTCAAGAAGTACATTTGAAAAATTGTTCCAGAAATCATTTACAACATCATAGGGAAAAAAAAATTCATACAACACATATACAGCACCATTGTTTGAAAAAATGCATACATATATAGAGAATAAAAAATAAAAGAGAGGGTTTGTGATGAGAGGTACCTCTGCATTTCTGCCTTTAGGAAGTGAGATGAGACTGAGGGACAAAAGGACGTCGCCGGAGTGCGAGGGAGAGGCGGAGCAGAGGGTGGGTCTAACGAACAGAGAGAGAGAGAGAGAGAGAGAGAGAGAGGCAATCGTGAAAAGGGTGGGAATAGGCAAAACGATGTCGTTTTTCTAGCAAGGGTAAATAGGTCATTTCCCCTCAAAATCCCACGACTTGGTAATAAAAATCCCACTCTTCACTGCTGTTGTAATTTGCAAAATTTCCCCACTAATTTGTAAGATTGTTTTACTGCCCTCACTGGGAAGTAATTCTCTAAATAAATAAAGCATGCTCAGATATAGAGTGGACCCACCAAACTGAACTAATTGATTCATGTAATTGGGTTCAATTTAATTCAAAATCAACATGATCGAGTACCATATTAAGGGCAAGTTTGGGAAGATCCAAAAAATCCAAAAAGTCAAAAAGTTACTCAAAAAGCTAAAAAGTTAACACTATTCACCAAAAGTCAACAATTACGGCTGCACAACTCCCAATTCAAATTTTTTCCTACAAATCAATTTTTACAATTTTTTATTACACATTTTTCAATAAAAAGTCAAAAAGTTAACCCAAACATCCATATTTTCAACCTCAATTTTTTAGTCCAAAAAGACAAAAAGTGTACTTTTTTAGTTTTCCCAAACTTGGCCTAAATTCGTTGAGTCAAATACTATTTCTAATTAATTTTTAATTAGTGAGATACGTGGACAATTAATGCAAATTAATTACTTAATTAAAAAAATATAAATTCAACATTACACAGACAAATTTGTTTTCATTTTTTGTTAATTGATAATCTTATTCTTAGTAACTACTTTTATATTTCAAACTTTAAAATGATATAACTTTTGATATATATATATATATATATATTTGTTTTTAATAAAATTAATTTTAGAATCCTTTCATCAAGATTTATTAAACAAGATCAATGTTAGTTATGAAATTCTTTATAAAAAAAAAATCTTAATCTTTTTTCCTGTTGAAACTAACATTAACAGTAAAATTTTACTGAGATTTACTGTGAATCAAAGTAAAATTTTACTGTTTAGGTCAATTATGACGGTATTTATTTATTTATTTATTTTCAAGAATTTCATAGTCAATCTAAATTTTGTTTGATATATCTCGATGAAAGAATTTTAAAAATATTTATTTTATTAAAAACTGACATATAGATCAAAAGTGATATCATTTTTAAAGTTTAAAATATTAAATTAGTCACTAAAGATATTTTGATAACAATGTTGTGTGTTGGATTTTTTAAGAATTTTTTTTTTTAATGTTTATCCTTAATATATTATTATGAGGAAATTTTGACTAAATATTCCCCCAGTTCATAGATTTTTCCATGGTTCTATTCTTATAGTGCTATCCATGTATCTCACTACATATGATTTGATTTTCATAAAAGTGTCCAAAAAATAAAATGATGAATTGTGCTGATTTAATTTGGATAAAATATATCAAGTTCTACAAATTTTAATATAATTAGACTAGATTTTTTTTTTTATTTTAATTTACTTAACACTTGATATATATTTTTTTATCAATAAAATATAATTAGACTAGATTTTTTTTTAATTTTAATTTACTTAACACTTGATATATATTTTTTTATCAATAATTCATTAATCATATGTATAAAAATTGTTTTATCATCTCTTTTATATTAAAATATATATTTTATTATTATAATTTATTCTTGTGTAAATTTATAGAGCTTCTTGTTTTTTTATAAAATGTAATTTACACAAAATGAGATATGTAATGTGAGATTGAATTCATTTTGAGTGTAATCTATATCATATCAAATTTAAATTTACATCAAACACTTAATTTCTTGGACACTATATGCTATTTTTTAGAGTAGTGCTATTCAGGCCAAAAAATAAATCCACTTTTTAGATTCAATGGTGTAACAAAACATCTAAGTCAACTTTCTCTCTAATTTATTTTTTAATTATTAACCAACCATTTTATTCTTTAATCATCAACCAATCATTTTATTTACACATCATTAAATTTAGAAAGTGAACTTGTATATTATTTTTATTTTTATTTTTTTATCAGTGTATTACTTTTCCATTTGAGTTATGTATTTAGCGATAGTTTCACTCAACCCTCCTGGTACACGGAAAAAATTGCTCAAAATTGACTATTTTCAATATGTTCGGTTATGTTTTTGTGTTTTGTTTTACATGTCTTTAGAAGAAGACCCAAAAAAAAAAAAAAAAAAGAGGTTTGAAAAACACACATTGTTCCTATTTTTGTGTGAAACATATTTTGAAAATTTGAAAATAAATTTTGATATTTTCTATGAGTATCTCCAATGGTCTACCATTGAAGTTGTCAAAGTCAAATTTTGACAGGTGTGGGAAAAAAGGGTGCTGTAATGGGCTGCTATTGGACCTGCCAAATTATAGCAATGTCAAAACTTGTGCCAAATTTGGCACAAGCTTTGGCAAATGCCAAAATTTGTGAGCTCACCCTCTCCAATTGATTTCCTTCCTTCCCTCTGTCCCTTCGTCATCCTTTCCCAACAAAAACTCCTCCAAACATAACCAAAAAAAGAAAAAAATTAAACAAAATTCAAGCAAACAGATTTCACACAAAATTTTGTTTCAAACATATTTGAAACAATCTCAAACTAATTTCAAGCAATCACAATTAATCTCAAGCAATCTGAAGAAAATGTTAAGTAATTCTCCAACATTAAAAATAATTTTCAAAAAACGAAATACCTAGATTTATCTTCATTGTGATGCCTCAAATTTTAATATAGAGGTTGAAATCAAGGAAATGTCACTAATGAGTCATTTGATCAATAACCAAGTAAGATCTCAGGAAAGATCAAAGGAGTTAAAATTGTTTCCCTTCTAAGTCCAATCTCCTTAGATTGTGAAGTTACCTTTTTGACATATCTTAGTAAGGTATTAACTCAAGGACAACATAAGTTAACGGGAAAGTAAAGGGTAGGTTTACACATGATAATATATATACATAGAGCAGAAGTAATAGTTACAATAATTAAGTCCAGGTAACAAAACAAGTATTTCCATCAATATTACATTTCAAAAATATGATTACAAGATGAACTTAAACAAAATAAGTTATAATTCCTTCTAAGATAGCCATACGTTCTTGAAAGTTTATGTCGTGCCATCGTCAGGGTAAAATTCTTCAACACCTGGTATGAAACGTCATGAGTTTGGAATATCCAATAAACTCATACACACCCTATTCCCTTTTTTTTTAATCCAATTAATACACAATCACAATTAAAATAACCAATGAAGCATGATATCCAAATCAATAGATAAAAGGGTAAGAATTTTAAGTGTTAGTAGACTAGAAATCCCCCGAAGAGATTTCATCCTCCCAACCACAAGAACTGGAGTCGGATTATTCGGTACCGCCTCTTTTGTTGCTTTGCAAACCTTACCCCGGATGCCTTCAATGATAACTTACCGCGTAACGCCAATTGAGGAATTGAAAAGAGACGGTAAAACATGGATCAACACCCAAAACCTCCCCAACCTTATAACACCAATATAAAAAATCACCTATAGGGTCCGAATATAACCGATCCATTTAAGGATTTTGAAATGAATCACTTGCACAAGACTTTAATTCTCGAACAGGGAACACATCCCACCAATCAATAATTGAAATTAGCATGTCATTATCTCATAAA